ACGTTTTCGTGACCAGTTCATCTGTTGTCACAAGTGGAACATATTTTTCACGCGTGCCCACACACCATTTTACGATATTCACGTGCAACCGCAATTCATTTCACGATATTTAAGCGTGTACGCACCGCAGTACCTACTAAAATTTCCCCATGGGATATGATAAAGAAAATATATTTTTCACAAGGGAACTGGTCAAATTTTATCCGGGTTGTAAATACGGCTTAGTGAGACTAGGTAAAACCTAGAAATGTTCGTGGGGATGGTATCGTGTAATGAAGAGTTATATTTACTTTACTGTGTTTTTTTATCATAACTAAGGTATTTTTGAATAGTTTAAAACAAAGAATGTTGACTTGAGGTTTAGCCTATAAATATCGAGCTGTATATCTTTAAAAAGTTCTGAAAATTTTAAAGAAAATATACGTACTATTCTCAAGATATTTAATTTTTAATGAACTTGACCGTTTTTTTCTTGTGGAAAATGATTATCTCGGGAAAAGTGCGTTCGTCTTCTTTGAAACTTTCTAATCACTGATAGATCTATAAATAAGCTAAATGTCAGATCAAAACTCTTCGTTTTAAGCTTTTCGACAGTACCGTGTTATGACAAGAAAACAGTAAAGTAATCATAACCCTACAGTACTAAACCATAAATACGAACTTTTCTGGGGTCTTCTTAGCTTGATGGAATCAGTCTGGATAGTTCTCTCATGGTTGTATTCATTTCTTTTGCTTGTTTTTCTTTGAAAATTATCGAACAGTTCCACATAACTCCCTTCGATGAAAAATAAATCGACATTAAAAATTCGTTCTGTAATTCGGCATTTGGAGGAAAAAATCAGAGTGTTTTGCAGTATGTCTTTCGAAGGCAAAGCGTTTCCACTTGCGCGGTATTCGAGTGAACAGAAAAAAAAGTACAAGTTGGTACAGTTTACGATTTTTATATGAAATGAATTGCGGTTGCACGTGAATATCGTAAAATGGTGTGTGGGCACGCGTGAAAAATATGTTCCACTTGTGACAACAGATGAACTGGTCACGAAAACGTTTCGCGTCATATTTTTCGCATGTGATCACAGGTGAAAGTCGTGAAGTGTGTAGTGGCCACACGTGAATTTCTCATGCTAAAATTTCCGTAAAAAATATCACTTGCGGACACGCGTGAAAATGATTCCCACTAATTTCATTATGAAAAATATCTTCACATTTATTCGCACGTCAGTGTTTCATGCAATTTATTTCGTGAATAATATTCACGCTTAACCGCAAGCGACAAAATTCTTGCGTTTCACGCACGTCCACGTATGAAACCTTTTACAGGTGTGAAATGTCGTGAAGATTGAACGCAAGCATAAATACAAATTTCTTCTATATCTTTCGAAAGTTGTACATATATACAGATGAAAACCTTTGTTGTAGACCGAAGATATTTTCTGTAGGAATATGCCTGGGAATCATTTTGTTCCCCGGGAGAAAGTATTAACTAAAATAGTTTGAAAAAGTTGGAAACTAAGAAAAAAGATTTAGGAAGTTCACGAGTAATCACGCCTTAGCACTTTTTTACACGTGGTAACTCGTAAAGATTGATTCGACCAGTATGAATATGAGATTTATTCAGTAGTTTCTCAGGTAAGTTAGCTCAATAGTAGTATCGTAGATTTCTAATTCAAAGTACCCTGGTTCGACTCTTACTTTGTGGTGATATATATAAAATGTGATATTTTAGAAACTAAAAGTTATAGATGAAGTTGCATTGATGAAGACTGCATTATACCTTGACCATGGTGATCATCTATAGTCAGTTGACTATAGATGTCAAGATTGGTCAATATTTTTTCACACGTAATCACGCGTGAAGATTGTTCACTTGTGTACACGTGTGAAGATTTTTCACGCGTGGCCACGCGAGTGATGTTGCAACAACACGACCAAACCGTCGTGAAACTTCCTGTCTTTACCTACAAAATTTTGTGAAAGTCCAAATTGACATTTCACGGTCCCTCACGAAAAGTCGATAAAATTTCCCCATGGGATATCCCAAAGCAATTTTCGACACAAAGAAATAATATTCAGAAAAAGTGTTTATCTTGTTCAACTTGTCTGTCAGCTAAGAAAGCTTTCAAAAATTCTTAAACTGAAATAATATCAAAAGATAATACATACACAATAATTTCATCAATCAGATCTCTTAAACTCTTTTCACGTTCATCGTGATCGAACGATACAGACACAGCAAATTTATGCATAGCACATGACCATTCCTTCGAGTTTTTTAATTCGAATATCGATTCAACTTTTTTACCATATTTATTAAGTTTTGGAAAGTAGGTGTTTGTATTTTTCTCATAGTTTCTGAATGAAAGAATGTGTAGACTATAGGAACATCTCAGAATCTTTAGCACACTTTTCTCTTTAATCTGTGATATTCTAGATCTCTAGGCGTCTCGTTACTCAAACATTATAAGACAAACAAAATGCAAAATAATCATTACGAAATTTCACTCCGGTAGCAGAGATGGCTGGCCAGAGCGATATATCATCTATTTTTAAAATTTTTGTTAAATGATCAATTGTCGATTTTGTTAATTTACAACCATTCTGAGTTTCTTTGAGAAAAATTGAATAAGAATCAGATAAATATTTTAATAAATCGTCTTCCAATTTTGTGAATGTTTCTTATGTTATTAATTCTTGATTCGTATTTGAAATTGTATTCATAATACCAATTATACGAGTTTTATTCAATTGACCTTATTTTATTAAATAATTCAATACATCCATTAATTCTGATGACATTTTTTGATTATTTTGAATAGTAAGTTCAATTATATAGAGAATTATGTCACCTATTTTACTATTTTCTAATGGATTCTTTAAAATAAATTCAAATGATTCCATAGTATTTTTTGATAATTTATACAACACTTACACATTGATCAATGATTGTTATTTTATCAATAATTTTCAATTTAGAGTTTCGTAGTTTTTTTGATACAATTTCAAATCTAATTAAAATTAATATATTTAATAATATTGTTTCATATTTAGTTATTAATTCTAGACCATCAATAACTTTATCTCGTAATATTTGATGTTTATTTTCAGATGCAAAATTAATTAAAATATGAAATGTTTCATTGGAAAATTCTTTTTTATATTGAATTAATTTTTCAAAAACTTGTATAATTGATTCATTTAATGATGGATTGTTTATTAAATTAATCATTGAACTAATATGTAATGATTGCAAAAATTTTCACACATTTTTAAATATTTTTATAATAAGAAGTTTTAATTCAATTGATGTTTCATCTGATTTTAAACATGATTCTAACACATTCATATTGAATGTTGATAATAATTTTTGACCATCATTAACAATTAATAATAATGAATTTCCAGCTTTATAATCAATACTTGTATTAAGATTTTCCAAAATTGTTTTACCAAGTATTTCTTGATTAAGTATTGCTTCTATTTCATTACTATCAAATGTATTTTCTTGTGCTTTACGTATACGAATATAATTTTTCCATGTATTGATTGGATTATGGAACTTTCATCACACCACACTTTCGTCATTATGACGAACGCACTTTTGTCATACATGACGAAAGTTCCTTGGGGGGAGGTACTCCTCGGGAACTGTCGTCACCAAAGTGTGAATTTTCGTCA